TCTACTACACTCTACACATGCCAATTCTAAGCTAGAATTCCTCATGTGGCCTTCTGTATCTCATTTATGAGAGTCTTCCCCTACCACAGGTAGAACCAATGCATCATTTTCCAAGCTTCTTACACTTACACACTTGCTCCAGGTTTTCCATTATTTCCCTCTACTTGTTCCCTTTAAATAAAATAATAAGGCACGTTTTACATCTCATGTGTTTAGTCTTTTTTCTGCTGTAGAAGATGGGTGCGGGAAAAAGGTGGGCAGTGGGTGGTCTTGACTCAAGTGGAATCTAGAAACTGCCTTGGGCAAAAAACTAATGCTGGGCCTTAACATGACCTTATGATGGAACTTCCAGGCAGCGGCGCCACAAGGTGGTGGGTGCTCAGTCTCGCTCCTGAGCCCAGCCAGCTGTTCATTGCTTTCATTGGAATTCTGGGTTTTACCGAGTTTCACCAGACCTCCTGTAGAGAGGGCTGGAGCAGGAGACTTGATCTGAGCCCCCTGCAAGCGGCAGTGAGCGGGTAGGAGCTGGGTCATCTCGAAGCAAAAGGACGATTCAGCACAGTCACGGTCCACCATGACTGCTAGTAGTGAACAACCAGCCAACCAGCCAAGAGAGCACCATACCTCATCTCCAACATAGACGAAGAAACAGTGAGTACGCTTACAAAGCAACATTAAAGAAGCAAAAGACCCTTTGAGTAAACCCCCTTCGCATCCACGATGGAGAGGAAAGGGGGAGGAGGAACTCCTATCCCCCTCGCCTTTGTATAATCGGCTAGCAAAAGTATTGGAGACAAAACCTTTTAAAGAACTATAAGGGGGGAGGGAAGAAAAGGGACATACATAAGCTTATCTGATCATTCTACTAATCGTATTGGAATTGCAAATTAACTAAATCGCTGGCTTTTATCAACAAGAAGAAAAGAATAGAGACATTTCAAAAGGAACTTCCTTATATGGTAATAGACTTCCTGTAACGGCAGTCCTGCTTCTGATGTTTTCTGGGCTCAGAAGACATTGGTTAAAAGAAACCTGGCTCTTTACTGAAAGACTCTCGGTTGTTATTATGTCTGCTATAACAACTTATCTAGCAATGTGGTTTAACTGCTAGATTGTGGACGGACTGATCTGCGTATACTCTCTTTGGTATTGGGGTTGCAGAAATAGTTTTTAAAATGGATTTCCAAGCGGGATGTGAATCAAAAACACCAAACACAGATGATACTGCAGGCGCAGAGGTGGTTCAGCTTTCATGGGATGCTCTTGAACATATGATACGGGACTCGATTATCCTAGTAATCAAAGAAACATGTGCTGAACTATCTGACATATACACAACTGCTCTACTGAAAGCTACAAACAACTCAGAGAAACTGCAGGAGCAATCCTTGAGAGACATTAATCTAAACTGCAGGCAAGAGGACCTCTTTGCAGCTGATTGGAAGACACCCTACAAGAAGAAAAACACACCAAAAAAGCAAACTACACCTTGTAGGGAATTCATGGAACTATGTTTTACAGAATCCAAGAAACAGGTGTATTCAGGAGCAACTGCACTCTTTAAGCAACAGCCAATTCAGAAAGAGAAGACTAAAAATATCCAATCAAGCTTTATTTTAAGCAATTTACTGCAACCCTTAAAACAAATGTATGCAGTACACAAGGGTAAACGGCACAGAGACAAGATCCTTCTGAAGAGAAGATACCAGACAAAGAAAAAAGATGTTAAGCTTTTTGTATCAAATTATCATTAGGGAAATTCACCCTCACTCCATATAAGAAAGCCTTAGGGAGTTTTTAACCAAGTGTAACTAAACAGATGGCTTGTTTTGATGAGAAATCAACTGCGAGAAGTGAAAATGTAAAGATTTTTAGTAAAATAGCAGATAAGATTGTAGGTGAATTATAAAGAAGGAGCATTTACTTTTACGTGTCTTATAAAAGGTAGTAATTCAGAAGAAAAATTGATATATTTGCTTTATAGAGAAACTTGAGATTGTAAGGGAAAACAGGAGTGGAATGACCTTATTAAAGGTAAGAATAGACTATGAAAATTTGAAATGTTACATTAAGAGCCTTTGAATATATATTACTAAAATATATTATTATTAGAATGTTTAGATAAATTTAAATGAAGCCATTTATGTATTCTTGATATCTGTATCCTTGATATCTGTATTACTAGGATGGATAGATTTTTCTGCTGTAAGACAAGTAGGAGAGACCTAATCGGAATGTACCATAAGATACTACTCTCATTTTATTTGTATTTCTGGAAAACTAATAAAAACCTATTATAAAAAATGACCTTATGATCATTGAGTTTTATAATCATAGAATCACAAAGTTGGAAGGGGCCATACTGACCATCTAACCCCCTGCTCAGTGCAGGATCAGCCTAGAGCATCCCTGACAAGTGCTTGTCCAGCCACTGCTTAAAGACGGCCAGTGAAGGGGAGCTCACCACCTCCCTAGGCACTGGAGCGGTGGAGCAGGCAGTAAAACGCCTGCTGTAACATCAGTGAACAGCCATTAAGGCTGTTCGAGACCCACCGCGGCTGGGGTGAGCTTCCGGCCCTAGTCCCAGCTCCCACCCACCCAGCAGCTCGAAAGCGTAAGCAAAAGCATAATTGCAAGTAGACAAATTGGGTACCTGCCCTAGGTGGCAGGGGGCACCCTCCTCCTTGCGGGGGCAGGCAGCAGGCGGCGTCAGCAGACGGTGAGCATGTAAGCGACGGAGCCTGGACAGAGGCGGAGTTACGGGGTGCGGTGACGTGGTGGCGCAGCGGAGCTGGCAGGACAGAGCCAAGGCTGCGGCCAGCGCGTGGCCGCGCACTAGGAGGAGTCCGCCAGAGGAGGCCACTGAACTAAGACCAGCTCCAAGGAGCCAGGAGGGAGAACGCCGGAAAAACATCAACACCCAAAGCCTGCCGAATAAGAGCCGAAACAACAAAAACAAGAGCCCGCTCTGCTGCCTGGGTGCTGGAAGGTAGTCACTTCCCCTGTTAATGTGACCCTAGATGGGTACTATAAAAATCATATGTAAACCGTTCAGAGACCCTTTGGGGTTTTAACGGTATATGAGCCGAAAGTTAAATAAATTCCACTGTTGCACAACTCTTACTGTAAAAATGTTTTTCCTAAGATCCAGCCAGTACCCTCCCGCCCTTAATTTAAACCCATTATTGTGAGTCTTATCCTCTGCTGCAACAGGAACAGCTCCCTGCCCTCCTCTAAGTGACAGCCCTTCAAATACTTAAGGAGAGCAATCATGTCCCCCCCCCAACCTCCTCTTCTCTAGACTAAACATTCCCAAGTCCCTCAGCATTTCCTCATAGAGCTTGGTCTCCAGGCCCCCAATCATCCTTGTCACTCTCCTCTGCACCCACTCCATACTGTCCATATCGTTTTTGAAGTAATGCTTCCAGAATTGCACACAATACTCCTGGTGCAATCTGACCAATGCAGAGTACAGTGGGACTATCACAGCCAGTTTGGTGCAGTGGTTAAGTCTGCGGTCACTAATCAGGGAGAACCAGGTTTGATTCCCCACGCCTCCATTTGCAGCTGCTGGATGACCCTGGGCAAGCCATAGTTCTGTCAGAGCTGTTCTCTCAAGGACAGTTCTGGAAAGAGCTCTCTCAGCCCCACCAACCTCACAGGGTTTTTGTTGTGGGGAGGAGAAGAGAAAGGAGTTTGTAAGCCGCTCTGAGACTCCGAGTGAAGGGCGGGGTATAAATCCAATCTCCTCCTCCTCCACATAGTGCAATTTTGATGTTATGCCTCTGTTGATACACTTCAAGATCGCATTTGCCTTCTTTGTTGCTGTATCACACTGGCTACTCATATTTAACTTTTGGTCCACCTGTACCCCAAGATCCTGTTCACACACACACTGCTACCCACAAGTGTATCCCCCATCCAATATGCCTCATTTTTATTACCCAGATATGGAATTTGGCACTTATCCTTGTTAAATTGCATCTTGTTCACATCCACCCATTTTTCCAGAGTGTTTATATTTTGTTTTTATTCATTCGATTTATACCCCACCCTCCCCACAAGCAGGCTCGTTGAATTCTATCTCTATCTTCTGGTGTGTTCACTGCTCCTCCATTGAGGCTTATGGGCTGAGCTGGCTAGGAGCACATGCACAACAAGCTCTGACTCAGCAGTGAACTCCCTAGAATCCAATAACTGTTGGGTTGGCAAGGAACTGGTTGAATGTTTGCCATTGCAGTAGCCACAGCAACACCAGCCCTGGGAGAGTTTGGAAGGTTGCAAGAAGAGAAAAGGTGAGAGGGGTGTGTGTGTCAGGTGTGTAGGGAGACATTTAAACTTTGACTGGGCCAGATGAAAGATTTTTCCAGGGCTCCCTGGATGCCTCGATAAGAGAGTAGATGGAGGAAACACAAAGGCAGTGTGTTGGCGTTGGCAGGGAATTCTAACCATCATATGGGTAACTTAAAAGGATGTGATGCATAAGGACAGGGACATTAAAAGATGTCAAAACAAGAATATGTAATTCTCAGGCACAGATGCAGCTTTTTAAAGATTACCATTGTGATGAGAAATCCAATACTACACAGGGATGTGTGAACCAGCTTTTTAAATGCTGTTATCCCCATCAATAACACTGTTTCAGAACATGAAAAGCAGTGATTTCACCAAATTAGGTTTTGATTACACAGTGTAATAAAGTGCTACTATTTGGTCAAGCAATGAAACTTTTCAAAAATAAACCAAGGAGTTCAGTTTGCAGTTCATTAGAAACAGCTTATTTTACATTACTATATTTTCAGTCTATAACGTCATACTATAAGGGAAAATATACTCTACATATATAATGATTTAAGTGAGATCATTCACTTTTATATCACTAAAAACAGCCCAGGAATCTATTTAAATTATTATACTAGCTTTAGCCACTAGTTTTACGTGACACAAATGGGGGAATACAGAAATAGAAGAGCAGATGTACAAACCTGGAGGACACTTACTTTGGAAAGATGGCAGTCATGAGAGCAGATGCATATCCAGGCTTGCAAACTCCTTCTGAGATGTTAGCATACTTTGATGCTAGCTCTGGAGGCCTGTGAGAAATAACTAGAGTCAAGAAAGTCCTAAGTAAAACAACAACAACAACTGTGTCACCATAATCCTTTTATAAATTTTTGTTAAATAGCTGAGAGGGATAAGAACAAAAAGACTTCTTAAACAAAGCAAAATGAGACAGCATTTGGAATCTAACATACACCTGCCTTGGTAATGGTTTAGATCCTGGGAAAGCTGAAATCAGGAACCAGTGCTTCTCATAAACTATTTTAGGCTGAAATTTTCTAACCAGAACGGCTATAAGCAGCAACAAAGCCTCACTTCTCAGCCCATTTTTCTGTTGCATGACAGAGCTACAATGTCTAGGGAAATTTCTATTTGTAGATCAAGTCTAATCAAATTACCACAGATTTCTACCAACCACTGTGGGAATGGAGGCAGTTGGCATTCCTATATCACAGGCCCAACATTGTTTCCCTAGCTGACTTTCTAAAAACTCAAGTCTATCTCACAATCAACTGGTATGTGAAAGCCTGAATACACAACACTTTGCATTCTAAGGAATGGCATTGTGGTTAAACAATTAATATTTCTGCTAGGCTCAAGGGGAGTGATGCTGTTAAACAGCCATCTGCTGTTTAAACTGCTTGGATTCTCTATCCCTCAAGGGCTATGCCTCATAACATGTATGGGTACCCCATACTTAGATGCAATTATATACACAAGAATTGTTGTTCTTTCTTTTTTCAATATCTTACTGACATGTTAATGAAGAATATGGAAGGAATAGAAGCTATGTAAATTTCTATGATATATTAAATATTTAATGTTTATAGAACAGTTGCTTTGTCAGCATAGCAGTAACAACTATTCTATACCTTTAATATCTTGTTCTCATGTCAATAAACTGATCCTTTGTAATCCACAAAACTGGTGAGGGTGGGAAGTGCCATCAAATTGCAGACAGCATATGGCAACCTGTAGGGTTTTCAAGGCAAGAGACGTTCAGAGGTGGTTTGCCTTTGCCTTCCTCGGCATAGCAACCCTGGACTTCCTTGCTGATCTCCTGTTCAAATATTAGGCAGGGCTGAGCCTGCTTAGCTTCCAAGATCTGACAAGATCAGGATAGCCTGAGCCATCCAGGTCAGAGCAATCCACAAAACTACAATTACATAAACCATGAAGAAAGTATTTTGTGGAGTTTAAAAGCAGATCTCAGAAGCTAAGCAGGTTAGTATCTGAATGGGAAACCACCAAGGAACTCCAGGGTTACTATGCACAGAAAAGCAATGGCAAACCACCTCTGTTAGTCCCTTGACTTGAAAATCCTACAGGGTCGCCATAAGATGGCTGTGACCTGATGCATAGCAACCCTGGACTTCCTTGCTGATCTCCTGTTCAAATATTAGGCAGGGCTGAGCCTGCTTAGCTTCCAAGATCTGACAAGATCAGGATAGCCTGAGCCATCCAGGTCAGAGCAATCCACAAAACTACAATTACATAAACCATGAAGAAAGTATTTTGTGGAGTTTAAAAGCAGATCTCAGAAGCTAAGCAGGTTAGTATCTGAATGGGAAACCACCAAGGAACTCCAGGGTTACTATGCACAGAAAAGCAATGGCAAACCACCTCTGTTAGTCCCTTGACTTGAAAATCCTACAGGGTCGCCATAAGATGGCTGTGACCTGATGGTACTTTACATACACAAAAACAATAAGGAAGTGAAGTATCCTCCCGGAAGTACAGTTACCATGGCAACTGCACTATTAACTCCTTCTCTACCTATAAAACAATCTGAACCACCATCTTTAAACACAGCTGAAAGCTAGCCAAGCAATGATGCTGGAAGCACAACTATTCAAGCAGAGGCCACTCTTTGTTGAAGAGTCTCCAGCCCCCCTCCCTCCAAGCTTTAGCAGAATGTATGCATGGCCAAAGCTCTTATGATCCTGTGCTGGCATTCC